GGTCCAAGCACAATCTATGGATTTCATTTAGAGTTTTCTAGTCTTTTGTTGCTAAAGCATCTTATCCCATCCAGCTCAGTCTCCTTAACACTCTTGAGTAAAACCCCTTGCAGCAGAGATCTGTACTGCAACCCGGGGGAGGGAAAGGGGGAAAGATAGATTTAGGTTTTATTGCACAGACTTAACTTTCCATGGTTTTATTCTCTGAGAAAAAAGAAACAAAACCAATAGACCTCTAAGATGAAGGGCTGGAATCCTGTTTAGACTGTCAGTTACTCAACACTTACCAAGCAAAGCATGTATTTGAGATGAAATGTGTAGCTCTCCAGGTAAAAGTGATTCATCTTACTGTGGGAAACACTTCTTCTGTAAGAGAAGGTTTGCAGCTAAAATCAACTATAAATTGTTCCAGTCAGGTCTTAGGTTTCTCAGGTGAGTCACAGTTTTCCTCCTTGCCTGTTTTCTCAAGTGGTGAGTGGCTCCTGGCTGCCACCCTTCCCTCACCAGCACAGATCCCGCTCATCTGTCACACATGTCCAACCCAGAGCAGCATACCACTCCTAGCAGGCTCCACAAACGATTCTCTCAGATTACATTTGTGAGGAGAGGAGCACCATTCCTCACAGACCCACCAGCCCCAGGACAAACAACACAGCACAAGCTATGACTGGGGAAAACCTGGCTTATTTTTAACAGCACAGTCCTCAACACTGTCAGGGTTGGATGGGTGCAGCCACTGAAGGGACGTGTTCTAAAACTGAATGCACAAAAGCAGCTGAACCATCCCCCTCTGAGCAGGGTACTCCAAGAGTTACCTACTGGGAATTAGGAGAGTGAGCCAGCATTCACACAGACAGAGAACTGAACAATATTTTTCTTGGAAAGGCACTCTGCAGCAGCGGTACCGAGGGTGTTCACCCCTCGCCTGGGACCGTGGCCCGTGAGCAGCATTACCATACTCATGATCTAAAGGCTTATGAATGCTAAGAATGTAAGAGGTCAGTGTGGCCCAGGGCCAGGACTCAGCCCACTGCTGGCCTGGTGAATAATTCGCTTCACAGTCGGTTTGTTGAAGAGAGAACCAGAGTGGGAGAGGACATGGGGCTGCAGTATGCACTGGCTGCACAGCTCAAGGCCACTGCTTTGAGGGAAGGGTGTGGAGACACACTTGTTGCCTGTGCATGGAAGATTTGCAGAGAGATACATCTCTGTCATGTAAATTTCACTGTGGTGTCCTGTCTCTGTCACTGAACGGGGATTTTATGTTACATGTGGCTGGTATGATCTGTCAGGAATAGAGCACAGCTCCAAGTAATCAGAAGTGTCTTAGGACACCAGCTTGGTTAGCATGGAAGACAGTTATGCTAAAAGGGATACAGAAACAAGGTGGCTGATCATTTCTGTGTGAAAAGTCTTAACATGAGCAGCTAGGGCAAGAGAGATATAAATGTCTTTTTTTCTTAATTTATATTTTCTTAAGCACCTGC